CTTGTTATACAGCTCAGGCTGACCTTAAGCTCACTTTGTAGCCCAGGCTGGTCTCGAACTCACAATGATCCTCCTGCCTCAGCCTCCTGAGTGCAGGGATGACAGGCCTGCACCAGCACACCCAGCAATTACAACCCATTTAATATAGCACATAACGGCAGAGGATTGAGCTCAGAGCCCAGATCCCAGGGCTCGGGGGACCCTCTGCGGGCTGTCACGTGTGGACACCAGGCACCCGCACTCCTGAACATGTTATTTCCCTGGAACTTCATCAGATTCTCGAAGCCTCCACTTCACAGATGAAAGAAATGCCAAGCACTAATGTGTTATCTTTGGCAAGTCCTGACTTCAAGTAAAGAAACTATTAAATGTGAAGCACAAGACAGTGAAGAATCATGTTTCCTTCCGTCAAGAACAGAATCGTATTTACATCTGCGATGAAAATCCTCCAGTTGGGCCGGGGAAATGACTCAGCAGCACCTGCCTGGCAAGCGCAAGGTCCTGAGTTGGGTCCCCAGTACCAAAAAATAAATAAAGTCCTGTGATCCATGTTCTAGAGAATTTGCAAATCACAGAGTCAAGATTAGTCTGTTCTGTAGAATCATCATCTACAAAGAGAAGTGGCACTGATACAACTGAAAGAACGCGTGGACCCCGCACAAAGGAGAAAATCCAGCGGCTTTATCTGTGTGTGCTCATGCCCTGACTCATTAGGCAAAGAAAACTTCAAGGCCCTAATGGGTTTTTCGGTCACTAAGCGCCCTTCCCATCAGTCGGCTCCCAAAGGCTCAGGGATCCGTCTCCCAAGACCTTAGTCTTGAAGCTGAATTTAAATAACAAGCATGAGATGGATAATAGCGATTACGTCAAAGCTAGAGAAAACAAACTAAAGGAAACCAAGAGAGAGCAACTTAGTCACCACAAGCTTTCTCAAGGAAGACCCAAACGTTCAGGTCTCCCAAAGCACGAGCCCAGAAGAGCTGCCGTTCAGCTGGCGGCCAGAGGAGCACCTCCACGAGCCCCAGGCCATGTTCATACCAAAGCCACTGCTGAGTCCTGTCTCTCTTGGTCCCCCCCCACACAGCTCCTTCCCCTAAACCCTGCCGCTTTGAAGTTCCACCAGATTTCTTGCATACTGCTCCCCCTCCTGGAGCTTCTCAGTGGGCTGCCAGCCTTTCTGTGCAGGGAAAGGGTCCATGTCCTAATATTCTAAGGGGACAGCTGCATGCCCGCCCTAGCCCCAGCACCTACATGGCACCCGATTGTTTGGCCTTCTCTGGTTTGGTAATTTGTGGAGAAGATAAGGCAAAATGACCAACATATTCCATCTGGAGCACTTTTGCCTACCTTGGGGTATAGGAGAATCAGTCCTAGCTTAACAAGAATTTAGGGGCCAGGGAGATGGCTCAGTTGAATATGCACCTCCCTGGCAAGCACAAGGGCCTGAGTTCAATCCCTGTTCCCACCCAAAAAAATAATAATAATAATAATAAGGTTGACTGCCAACAAGAATTTAAAAACCTGTCACACACCTTGTACCTCTTGGAATGATATCTGGAAATATGAAAAAGAATAATACCCTGCTGCAGTAAAAGACAGCACAGGGAGACCACAAGTGCTGCTGCCCTATATAGTTAATAATGTGTCCCAGAGAAAGCAGCTTAAGGCCCAATTAAAAGAAGCCAAAAAGGGCTGGGGAGATAGCTCAATGGACTGAGTGCCTGCCTGGTAAGCACAAGGACGCGGGTTCGATCCCTAGTACTGCATGCAGCACCGGCACTGAGCTGGCCACTGAGACAGGGCACGGTGGTACACACCTGTAATCCCAGCATTGGGGAGACTGAGGCAGGAGGATCACTATGAGTCTGAGCTGTGTAGTAAGACCCTGTGCTAAATAACTAAGTAAATAAATGATTATAAAAATAGAGAAACAGAAAGCAAAACATCAGGTGGTCAATGATTGAATATAAAGATGAAAGTGCAAAAACAATAGTACACACATGACTTCACAGAGACTGTCATGATAAGGAGGAAAGTTTTAAGGAAAAGTCAACAACTTGAGTATAAAGCTAAGGAGGCAAAGAAAACTTCTCCATTGTTTGTTTGTGTACATATTTGGTACAGGATCTCCCTATGCAGCTGGGACTGGTAGAGATCCTCCTGTTTCAGCCTCCCCAGCGCTGGGACCACAGGTGTCCACCACCGTGCCCAGTCTTGGTGGCAGTTCAGCACACCTGGGGGCAGGGCCAGTGCAGCCTGTGGTGCTGGGGATTGGATCCCAGTCCCTGTCTCGCCCAAGCAGGTGCTTAGTCTGCTGAGCTATCTCACCGGCCCCAGGAAATATTCTTGGGACCACCAAGGCCAGTGGTGGTGAACCGACAGCTCACGTGCTACAGTGGGCAGTTTATATCACTGAAAGCTCTAAAAGGTTTCCATCCTTGAATACCAGTTGTTTTCTAAAGACATCTTTAAATTATGATTAAATAGGGCTGGGGCTGTAGCTCAGTGGTAGACCACTTGCTTGGCACCAGCCAGGTCCTGGGTTCATTCTCAGTACTAGAAAAAAATTTCCGTAAAGGATACATCACATTATCCCTTCTAAGCATGCAGAGCAGCAGGGCTGGTACGCTTGCTTTGTCGTGTCATCTGTGTATCTCTGGAAGGCTTTCCATATGGCAAAGTAAAACTCTACCCATAACCAACAGCCCCTAGGCCCCGACCCTGGCACACACCGCTCTACCGTCTGTCTCTGTGAACTTGAGGACTGTAGGAACCTTATACAAGTGGACTTGTTCAGTCTTTTTCTTTCTTTCTTTCTTTCTTTCTTTCTTTCTTTCTTTCTTTCTTTCTTTCTTTTTTTAAAGGACTTTTTGGACTGAGGCGGTATCTCAGGGGACCAAAGCATCTGCTTAGGCAAGTTAAGGCAAGCGCAGGGACTGAGGTTTGATCCCCGGCACAACATGTCATGCCAGCCCCGCCACCAGGGCGGGCTGAGCTGGCCAGAATCCCGGTGCGGTGGCGCACACTGTAATCCCAGCGCTGGGGAGGCTGAAAGCAGGAGGATCACTATGAGTCCAAGCTGTGTAGTGAGACCCTGTACCAAATACATAAAATGGAAAAAAAAAAAAAAAAAAAAGGCTCTTAAACTGGAGAAACGCTGTAGTACAAAGGACTAGGGACGCCAGGGAGCAGGACGTGCAGCTTCCAGATCGCAGCACCTGCGCAGCGACCTCGCAGGAGCAGGACACCTTTCTGCTAAGGAGCTCTTCAACAAGGACGGAAGATGACAGGCAGAGAGTCGATTGGAGGAAGCTGCAGATCCAAACAACTGTGAAAAGACTCCTGAAGCAATAGGGGCTGTTATCAGATTTGCATCCTCTACTCCAGGCAGCTTTAAAACCAAGACAGGAGAAGCCGATACCATCTCTTCATGTCCTGAGAGCTCGCTGTGAAGAAGTTGTCACTGTTATATCAGACTAGAATTTGACTAGAGAGGAAAGCACATTTGAGAGCCAGGAGATAGCTCAGTGGTCTAAGCACCTGCCTGGCAAGCACAAGGCCGCAAGTTCCATCCCCAGTAGTGCATGCCGTGTGGGCCCCAGAAGCACAGACGCACCATGCTGGCCCTGGAACCGAGCGTGGTGGCACATGCCTGTAATCCCAGTGCTGGGGAGGCTGAGACAGGAGGATCATTATGAGTCTGAGCTGCACAGTGAGACCCTGTATCAAAAAAAGAAAGAAAGGGGGCCAGGGAAATAGCTCAGTAGAATAAGTGCTTCCCTGGCAAACGCAAGGGCCTGAGTTCAATCCCCGGTTCCACCAAAAAAAAAAAAAAAGGAAAGAAGGAAGGAAGCAAGCAAGCACATTTGGTAATTGCACCAGCGACCATCAAACTCTGCCTGTTGCCGAAAGATCCCCTTGAAAACTTATCCCACCCTTCTTAGACATTAATTTCTTGAATGAACACATCCCTCCAATCAAGCAGTACGTGCACGGAAGACTATGGTCTAGTTAAGCTTTTCTTACTAACAGTGAAAACATGTCATTTGATCTCAAAATGCAAAGAAACCGGTCACCTAGCAGCACAAAAACATAAGAGCCTCAAACATGGGCCAGTTGAAGCAGCCAAAGAGAAGGATGCGTGGAGAAGCCTGCGATGAGCGCTGGCGTCAAAGCCGTCTCAGCTCTGACAACAGTGTGAACCTAAAATTGCGTGTTGGGAAAGTTCCTTTCTCATCTCACCCAGAACATTCATGACGCCTGATGATCCAGGGACGTTCCTTTCCGTTGAGAAATCAAGAAGCGAGTTTAATGCAGTTATATTTTCAGAAAAGAATTAACAGTCATCAGAACCTCTGCAAGGTTGTAATTCTGATTTTTCTTTTCTTTCTTGATAGAGTGAATGCCCGGGGGCTCTGACCCAGCTTCAGAAACACAGCCAGTAGAGTCGGTTCCTGAAAAAGAAATTATCCAATTACAGATTAGCAAGGCTATAAAAGGGATTAGGAAGTGACAGACAGGGGAAACTCCCTGCAAGCGGCTACATAAGGGCCAAAAGCCAGCACCCGTCCTGTCTCCTCCTTCCGCCTCTCCGCTCATCCTGACAGCTCCACATCTGCAGGACCAGCATGTCTTGCCGGGCCAGTGTCTCCTCCTCCTCCTGGGCCAGAGGCAGCAAGCAGGCTGGCAGTGGATGCAGCTACGGTCTGGGGGGCGGCTCAGCCTGGAGCTTCCAAGGAGGGGCTGGCAGCTGTGGCCTGAGTGGGGGGTCTAGCGGGGGCTCTGGAGGTGGCCTGGGAGGTGGCTTCGGGAGCTGCTCGGTAGGGGGCAGATGGGGAGCGGGCACGGGCTCGGGGGCTAGCTTTGGCAAGGGTTCCTGCTTGGGCGGGGGCTCTGGCTTCTCTGGAGGTTTTGGGTTCAGTGGTGGTGCTAGCGGAGGCTTCGGCAGCTCTGGAGGTGGCTTTGGTGGTGATGCTGGCGACGGGGGACTTCTCTCTGGGAATGAAAAGCTGACCATGCAGAACCTCAATGACCGCCTGGCCAGCTACCTGGACAAGGTCCGGGCCCTGGAGGACTCCAACACGGACCTGGAGATTAAAATCAAGGAGTGGTATGAGAGATTCGGGCCTGGGTCTAGAGACGGTGGGTCCAGAAGAGATTACAGCAATTACTATGCCATCCTCGACGATCTCAGGAAGCAGGTGAGACGCTGCCTGTGGCTGAGCTCCGAGGGTGGAGCTCGTGCTTTTATTCAGAGCATACGCTATAATTAAAATTTAAAGCCAAGGAGTTGTTTGAAAATGTGGCCGCTTGTCATAAAGGCAAAGTGGGTGATCCGCTATAGGACGTCCTACCGCATTCACTGCCTGTTTGTGTCTCGTATTTGAGTATTTCTACGAAACAGTAAACTGGATACAATCCCAGGCAGCTAACCAGCGGGTGTATGTAAGAATAGTGGCAGTAGGTTGACCTAGCTTATGAATTCTGACAGGTTGACATACTTGAGTATCTTGCTAGACTCAAGTAGTCTTTAGCACTATCTTTCTCCCTAGAAAATCTGGCATCACTGTTGTATAAACAAGATAGTAGTAGAACCTAAAATGTCCAGCCCACTGTATGGGACATATATTCTAAAGACATTTTTAGGAAGTGAAAATTAGTGTTTGCACTACTTTCTCAAAGAGCTGAGGGGATAAGAGACCTTCGGAGTGGTGGAAACACACACAGGGATGAGTCCCGTAAGCCAGGATTCTGTGCTGAATCCCAATAAGGACACGAGTTAGTGTCCTTTCTGCAGGCAGATGTAGTCCAAAGCATGCAAGTGTCTTTCCTAAGTTGGCAAGTCAATCGTCCTTCCCAGTGAGTGACACTGCGATCTCGGCCCTCCCCAGGGCTTGAGGACCAAGCCTGGAAGTCCCCTGTGACCCACTCCCTGCTGTCCTCTTTTCTAGATGGTGGCTGCCACTATCGAAAATGCTAGGATCAGTTTGCAAATCGACAACGCACGGCTGGCCGCTGACGACTTCAGGCTGAAGTAGGACGTGTGAAGAAAAGCGAAGCCCCACCTGTCTGCTTAAAAAATTCATAAACATGCCTAGGGGGAACTGTAGACTCTCCTTCTGCAAAATGAAACAGAGGCAGATTTGGAGAAGAACTGTGTTACAAAATTAGTAGGCGGGAGTAGGATTAATACCCAGCTTCTAGTTTATGGGGGCGTCTCCATTTAGTATAACTCTTGGAGAGGAAGCCTTACCCCACATACAGTAAGGGAGGGGGCACAGGATACAGCTGAGGGGCATAAGTGCCTGTCTGGCAAGCACAAGATCTTGAATTCGATCCCCAGCACCGCAAAAAAAAAAAAAAAAAAAAAAAAAAGACAAAAGAAAAGAAAAAAGGGATGCTGACCTGTGCGCCATGGTCACCAAGCTGCCCGCTCGCCCGCCACCCCTCCAGGTACGAAAACGAGCGGTGCCTGCGGCAGGGCGTGGACGCGGACATCAGCGGGCTGCGCAGGGTGCTGGACGACCTGACCCTGGCCAAGGCCGACCTGGAGATGCAGATTGAGGACCTGCAGGAGGAGCTGGTCATCCTGAAGAAGAACCACGAGGAGGTGGGACGGGCGCGCCCTAACCCTGGACCCGGTTCTTGCCCTCGCCCTCTCTGTCCAAGTCCACTCGGTGTGAGCTCCATGCATCTCCCGCATGCGATGGCCGTGGAGTGAAAAGGAGCGTATTCTGCCTACACGTGCTTTTCACAGGGTCCTGGCTTCACGTTTTTATTGCTTTTCCGATTTTTATTGCATCCTTGTGTGTGTGCTGTTTTTCCGCCCCTTGTGCTAGGAAATGAGGAGCGCGCAAGGGAGCAGTGGCGGGGACGTGAGCGTGGAGATGAACGCCGCCCCGGGAACCGACCTGACCCAGCTGCTGAACGACACGCGGGCGCAGTACGAGCAGCTGGCGGAGCAGAACCGCCGGGACGCCGAGCAGCAGTTCAACCGGCAGGTGCGCGGCGCCCGCAGCCCCCAGAGCCGCCGCCGCCCGCACCCCTGCGGCGCCCGGGCTGCAAACTCCGCCTTTTATTCTCTTTAGAGCGCCTCACTCCAGGCCCAGATCTCTACGGATGTTGGAGCAGCCAGTTCTGCCAAAAGGGAGATAACAGAGCTGAAGCGAACCCTGCAAGCGCTGGAAATTGAGCTTCAGTCCCAACTGGCCATGGTACGTGCAGGTCGCTTTTCCCGCCCCCACGCGGAGCTCAGCAAATACAGTTCTTTCGTTGCCAAGGCGTTCGGCAGCCACACCACAAAAGCAGCCTTAGGGAGAAGCATCCTGTGGCTCCAGAAAGTGTAAAGCGCTGGAAGAGGATGCCCTCTGATTCCCTAAAAGATTTTGCTTAAAAGGCAATGTCAGGGCTGGGGAGATAGCTAGGCGGTCTAAGCACCTGCCTGGCAAGCTCAAGGTCCCAAGTTCGATCCCTGGTACCGCGTGCCATGCTGACCCCAGAACCGGGCATGGTGGTGCACGCCTATGACCCCAGCACTGAGACCGGAGAGTCCAAACTGCAGCGAGACCCTGTATCAACAAGAACAACAAATAATTTTAATTAAAATAAATAAAATAAAATGTCAATGAACACTAAAGAAGGAATGATAAAACAATACAGATTGCTATGAGGTCCAGGGACACTCCTGATGCCATATAAAATAGTGGTGGTTTTAAAAGCCATTTATTGACTTATCTTTATCATAAACTTTTTTTTTTTTTTTTTTTCTGCTGCTGCTGTTAGAAAAGCTCTCTGGAAAGAAGCCTGGCTGACACCGAGGCCAGCTTCTCGGCTCAGCTGTCAGGGATCCAAATGAAGATAGACAGCCTGGAGGAGCAGATCTGCCAGGTCCGGGGGGAGACCGAGTGCCAGAACAGGGAGTACGAGGTGCTGCTGGACATCAAGACGCGCCTGGAGAGAGAGATCGAGACCTACCGCCGCCTGCTCAACGGAGAGGGCGGGTTCGTGATGCCCCCAGGGCCGCAGTGCCCACCTCAGGAAGGGACACGGAGGTTGGGGTCGTACGTGTAAAGTAGTGAGGTCACAGGCGTAGCCCAATCAAAAGACACCAAAGCCACGCCACAGAGACGCCCCAGGGTGGAGGGGCCTGCCTCCCTTTGAAACCTACAAAGGAAAACATCCTTTTTCTTCCCCCTCAGTGGCTCTGGTTTTGAAAGATCCAGGGACTTGGTATCGAGTGCCTCAAGACCTGCCAGTCAAGAAAGAGGTAGGCACGTTTTGGTGTTGCTGATGATTGTTCATTTTAAAAGTAAATGTGTAGGGCCAGGGAGGCAGCTCAGTGGCATAAGTGCCTGCCTGGTAAACTCAAGATCCTGAGTTCAATCCCCGGTACCATCAATAAATAAACAAATTAAATAAAAAATAAAAGTAAAGGTATGCTGGGCCAATCCTCACTTCTATAATCACACCCAGAGAGAAGAAACTCAGTGTGTGTGTGTTGTAGAACTTCTTTCCAGCCTGACATTGCGACCCTGTGGCTTGCAGATCCCAGCAAGACGAGAGTGACTAAGACCATCATCGAGGAGGTGGTGGATGGCAGGGTCATTTCCTCCCAGGTCAGCAGCATTTCTGAGGTGAAAATCAAGTAGGCAACTTCCAGGCCAACAAGCGGGTCTTTCAGAGAAGAGATCCAGAAGGACGCAGTGAACAGCCTCTCCGTGTTTCTCCCGGGAAAACCTCCGGCCCAGACCCAGCTGCCGGCCACCGCTTCCGCCCACTCCCGCTTTCTTAGTAAATGCTCTGTGAAGTTGGAATGCCAAGCTCTGCTCTAACCACCTCTCTGCTTCAATAAACTCACTTTGGCAAACAGACACAGTCACGCTTGAGTTTTTACTCCAATTGATTATTATATTTATCGCCATGGTTACTTTTGCTGAACAACCCCTGTGTGCTCTTCAGAGACCTACGCAGGAAGCCATAATGGAAGTTTTGAGGCAATTAACACTTCGCCAAGCAATGAAGCTGTCAGTGATGACTTGGCTTCATTGTTGGATTACTAATATTAGCTCATTATTTATATTTTCTCATCCTTGGAAACTGAAGCTGATAGCCAATTCATGTGCGTGTTGTGAGCAGCGTTTAACAATGGGATGACATCATTCCTGAGATTAGACTTCAGCATCCCCGACAACATAGCCAGCAGCGGGGATGAGATTATTGGCATAATCCACTTATAACTAATTAAAATCTCATCCCTTTACATCCAGCCTTGAACAAACTATTTCATCAGATAAAAAAAAAAAAAGTAGAACATATACCTCTTACCTCAAGACGCTTACGTTGTCGATGGGGAGGAAAGATAAAATAAGATTGCAGGGAATAAAAAGACTTTGGCAGTAATTAGGATTTCACAATATTAGTGAGAAGTGTCGCAGGAATCAGACAGGACTTGTTCGCAGGACCTTTAGGAGACGGGCCAAGGGAAGTGCCTTGCCGAATAAGGACAGACATGAGAGATGGCGCCAGATTTCCCAAGACCTTGAACATCCCAAAGAAAAGAGATGTCCCAGTCCTTCTCCTTTGCCACTCTAGCCAAACACTGTCCCCTGGCTACGCTGGTGTTTCTTTCCCTACTGCCCATTACTGGGTCTTTTACCTCATAGATGGTACATCTGCAGTGGCCCTGGAGTCACAAAGCCCCACCTCACTCTGCTTAAAGGATGAAGGCCCTTGAGGTAGGGCAGTGGGTAGTACGGGTCTCAGAAAGATCCAAAATTATGACCAAGTCAGGACAGACAAAAATATTCACGCTCAAGAGATTTAACATCACCAGATCTCAAATTGGAGCATCGGCTCCACAAGCCAGCCCTCAGGAAGAGCACAGACCCAGCATAAAAAGCCAAACCTAAAGCTAACAAGGGATAGACGTGGGCGTGGGGTACTGGCCCACCCAGAAGCCCAGCACGGGAAACTCAGGCAGGAGAATCACTTCGGAGTTTGAGGCCAGCCTGCACTACATGGTGAGATATCGTCTGAAAAAGAAGAAGAAAAAAAAGATGAACTTGAAGAGAATCTGTCTCATCTGTACCTTCAAATATAAAGCCGACAAAAGCCTGTGAGAACTTCCAGTCTTGAGTCTCTAAAGAATGTATGTCTCCACCTGCGAGGTACACCCAATGAAGCATCACGGGGACCTCTGGGTACACGGCCACGCTTGGATCAGAACCACAGAGCTAAGTTACAGCTAAGCATAAAGCCGCTACTCAAAAACACGCCCTGTTGTCTTGAGTGGGCCGCGCTTCCTCACAAATCCTTACAGCACACAAAAGCCTCAGTGCGCCTCTTGCATGAAGAAATATGAAATGAAGAATATGAAGCAGCGGATTCAGCCTGCTTGCTTTTCTAGAAATGGAAATGTTTGCTGTGGCCAGCTCGGCTATTCCAAGGAAAGCCCTGTGGTCTACCCAGAGCTCCTCGTTAGGGGCCGGGGACCTGTGGTGGCACCATCAGCCTCCTCTTGCTACGTCAGAGGTGCTCTAAAAATAACCCTGAGGGAGACCCCCTGGCTCTGCTTCCCCGGGCCCGTGTTAGAATGCTGCAATTATAGCTGGATGTAGTGCGCTTCTGTCAGCCCAGCACTCGGGAAGGCTGAGGCAGGAAGACCCCAAGCTCAAGCCTAGACAACTTTGCAACTTAGTGAGACCCCATCTCAAAATAAAATAAGAAGAACGCTGCTTTGGCACTAAGGGACAAATACAGAAAAATCCAGCTTGTGACACCAAGAGGCAGAAACCAACGTGTCGCTCAGAACAAATTCAATTTGTCATACTAAAACTAGTGGACCACTCAGGATCAGGGAATTTATTGAGTATTAATAAAATATTGAGAACAGAGTGTTCATAATGTTGTTATTGGTCCTAAACCTACTTTAGAACCAGGCAAAAATATTTCTTATGCAACTCTAGGGTCCGTCCAGGTCTCCAGTCAGCTACTAAGCAGGAAGACGCACCCCTTTACTCGGGCTGGACTTGTGTTGGAGAAGGTGGTGAGGCGTGGATGCACTCCCGGAGCCTCCCCCGTGGGCTTTTGTTCCAGAAATCCATAGGATTGCTCCTGTCTGGCTGGCCTCTGAGGACAAAGGACAAGAAGGGTGGGGAGGCTAGAAGTGGCGTCTGTCTTCACAGATTAGGAACAACAAAGGTGTGTAGCAGGCGGCGCAGAGGAAATAGCCAGAGGATGAGGCTCGGAGGAAAGAGGCCCGAACTTGCCCGGTGACTTCATGGAATGGGGCTGTGCTTACCCAGGAGGCGACAAAGGTATGAACATAAATCACCCCAAATGCAACTCAAGTAATATTATCCAGGCAGCCTCCAAAATGCTGAAAGTAAAACAAACACCCAAAAAATCACTTTAAAAGAAATGATCAGGATCCCCGTATTAGGGGTGGAGGGGACGCAGAAGCCCGAGTTCCAGCCCAGCCCAGGCAGTTTAGCACCTACCTTCGTGAGACCCTGTTTCCAGAGAAAGAATTTTAAAAGAGCCAGGGACGTGGCTCAGCGCGAAGGCCCTGGGCTCAATCTCCAGTGCCATAAGGCAACAACAAAATCATAGTAGGGGTGTCCTGGCGCACGCCTGTAATCCCAGCACTTGGGGGGCTGAGGTAGGAGGATTGCCATGAGTTCAAGGCCAGCGTTGGCTATGCAGTGAGCAAGACTATGTCTAAAAAAAAAAATTAAAAAAATCAATGGTTCAAACATAACATTGGATTATAGGAAATATTGGCCAACCCCTTTTAAATAGGATTTAATCATCTGTGACATCAAGGTCTACATGAACACATAAGAGGAAAGAATCAAGCACTTACTGAAATTGGCACTTAAGCGGCATACAAAGGACAGCCCAGTGAGGGTCACACAGAGCTCTCCCAGGGGTGGCGCCTGGGCTCCTAGACAGAGCTGGGAGGAAGTGTTTGCTTAGCAGTCAACTGCAGCGGGCCGGGCCCTGCCTGCCTCGGGCCTGCCTCTACTAACACAGCAGCTCTGGGGTTCAAACATGTCCCCAAAAGTCCTGTTTAGGAGCTTGCCTTCAGGGCGGGGGCGGGGAGGTTGTGCGCTGGGGATGGAGGCTGCAGTAGACGGTGCTGGGGTCCACCGCAAGAGGCCCGCAGGCCCAGGCTCCCTCCAGCCTCTGGTTTTGTGCTGCCGTCTCTCCTCCCGCGGCCCCCTCTCCCAACCTGCCACAAGGTGACTCGGACAAGGGTGACCCTCCTCAGAGCCACGCCCTTGAGTTTGATGAATCCCTTCCGTCTATAAAGTGAGCCTGCTCTGGGTATCGTAGCATAGTAATGAAAAACAGACAAATCTGGCCCGGACCCGCACGAGCCAGGGAGGAACAGCAGATTTTCGGGTATGATGTCGCACCTCCCGGCTTCCGCAGGAAAGAGACGAGATGGCCAAAAGGTGTTGTCGCGGCCTATCGCTGCGCACCGTGAGGTATCGTGACAGGGTACAGTGACTTCTGGATAAATCTGTCGGGGAATTACCCACTAATGTTAGGAAATGTTCTTTATCCTTCTCAAAACAGATGCGGGAACCACCCAGCGGTCGTAGAACAGGCTTTCAGCTCCGCCAAGAGACAGCGGTCAGCTGTCAGGCAGGGAGGGACAGGTTGACAATCCCAAGCCCTGTACTTTCTTCTAACCCGCCCGTCCCCAAATCTGTCCAAAGCCCTAGGTCCAGTTGTAAAGCTGTCGCCACTGAAGATAACCAGGGGTCGTGTGGAGTTATAATATGGACCATTAGAAGAGCAAGACCCCTCGGCTGGGGGATGCTGGTGTCGGCCGCGACGGTGGGGAAGAGATTATTCCGGCCATTGCTGCTCCTCATTCGACCGCAAAGGCCTCTCAGATTCCCTAAACCCCGAAGCCTGGGGGCCGGCGAGATCGTTCAGCGGTCTAAAGCACCTGCTTAGGCAAGCGTAGGCAAAGCTTGGAAGCCGCGGTTCGATCCCTGGCACTATATGCTGTGCCAGCCCTGCGCCTAGGGCAGGCTAAGCCTGCCACACACACACACACACACACACAACTGAAGCCCGGTTACAGGTTTGTGTATAAGGTGCTTATTACCCTGTCCATGTTTCTGTGCTGCATTTTGTAATGTTAAAAGCAATACATAATAGAGCCTGTGCTTTGTGTAAGTGAGCATGCTCAAGGGCAGAGGCGATCCTGTCTAGGTCTGGGTGAAGACCGAAGGACCCCCGGTGTGGGCCAGCTGTGACGCAGAGAGGACTTGAGGGGCTGCGGAGGGCCGTTGTCCGCACGTTCCTACTGCACCTGTCACTCGCGGGCCTCAGCCTGGGGAGGCGACAGCCCGTCGGGGCCTAAGAACACATCAGACGAAGCGCAGCTGCGTGGGGGGGTCCCTCCTGGAATGTGGCGCCATCACAGGCGACAACCTCGCAATTAGTCCAGCGGATATTTTCGTGAGTGACATCAAGCCTCGTAATTTTTGGAGCAAAACAGGAGAGGAAACAAAGAAAAGTGAGGAGGAAAAAAAGGAAGTGCCCCTTGCTAGGCATTTATGAAGGGCATGAACGCTGTGCCTCTGGTTCGTGTCGTTGACACCAGGATGCAGGTCTTGCTGTCCGTGCTTGCTCTGGAATAAATGAAGCTGAAAGAGGTCGAGTCATTTGCTCAGTCACACCGCAAGTGAGGGGAGAACCCAAACCGAAGCCCACGCAGCCTGGTTTTC